TGCCCCCATCCTAACCCCCTGTCTCGTACGCCTATGCATGCCTACACGACATGTCCAAGATGCTTTGTGCGTCCTGTATATGGGCAAAGAGACTGCGTGCTCTCTGAAGCAGAAAAAGGAAAATTGACGGATGGAATGAGAACAAGACAAGCCAGAATCTCTAACTCCCGGAATGAGCGAAGATGGACTGGGTTAAACCCGCAATAGCTACGTGAAATATATTTTGTGTACGGTTCAGGGCAAAAGCAGAATAAGCGCTCTGGAATGTTTGAAAAATCATTGTAAAATAGAATTTCTCAGCAACGAAGCATAAAAACAGGCTAGTATAATAGTTGAACAGTTCTAAATGTTATTTAATTAAATTTAAGGAAATACAAATTTCAAGAATCACTAAGCAAAACCAATGATGAGCCCAGAGTAAAATATAGCTACAGCTTCTGAGTTCTGAAAACTTGAAAATACACTTCCCCTGCTGCTTATGGTACAAAAATCTTAAAATCTTAAAATCCTCTGCTTTTCCATTGTTAATTAAATTTCGTGGTTAAACGTTACAAAATAAGGATATAATATGGCGATGCAAATTAGTTTGCGCGTTTTGTATCTTTTATTTCATATTGCATAGTGAACATGGATATTTGCCTATACACGGGAAGTCAAACGATAGTTTCCACAATATCAAAGAATTTTACTAATTTAATAGATGGACCCTTTTCACCATTTCAGTTGTGGGGTTGGATTTTAACTTTTTTGCCCAAATAAAACTTTGGCAGAACCGTTAAAAGGTATATTAAACGTTGCCTTTTCAAGTTAACACGCGTAAAAACATCTTTATTTTACTCTGGCTTCACCGTGCTGATTTTAATGTGTTTCCTTCATTTGATACTTGAGCCAAACACCAATGTCTATGCTATAAAGTAAAAATTGTCACAAATATAAGCACAAAAAATGCAGCGAAATCAAATTACCAAACAGGTGATCGTTTCCAAGAAATAGCATGAACGATGGTGTCCACGAGAAACAGGATTGTGCCGATAAAACCACATGCCTAGACAATTTAGACAAATTTTCATATATATTTTAGAGGAATAAGAAGTTTGCCAGAGGATAAAATGGATTTGGAATAGTAAATAAGATAAATAAAAGATATTTTGGATAATATTAATACAGTGTCACACAGAGTCTTTTTAAAATTAAATTCAAAAGTCAGATTAACGTGCACTTTTTCGTTTTACAATTAGATTGTCTACCAACGCCCCCCCCCCCCCCCCCCCCCCC